GTTGTCTGAGGTCTTCCTCTTTTGCATTTTCCTTGAGGGTTCCATGTGAGAGCTTGACGGACTATGCTGGATGATGGTTTTCTGAGCATCGGGCCTAGTCGTCCCTATTTTCTTCTATTGATTTGAACATCAAGTGGACCTTTCCCAAAACTGACTCTGCGATAGCACTTTGCACACCCGGTCATACACTCGCTGAATCCAGGGGAAAACTCCCCCGGGTCACAAGGGAATGCAGCTTGGTGCATGAAGAACAAACATTCTCCAATCACTCATCCTTGTTCCACCACACAACAGGTAGGTCCAGCTGATGTTACAGCAGGGGGGAACCAAAGAGCTATTTGGATTCTGAACGACAGGGCCCATATTGCATCTGTTCTTCGATCCCTAACATCTTCCATAATGGCTCATTTTGCTGCGTGCCTAAAAGAAATGGTTTTCCTTGGGGCCCTTCCATGGACCACATGGATTGCCAAAGTCCTACACTCCATTCAGGGCCAGATTAAGACCTATAGAGACCCTAAACACTGAAAAGATTATGGCCCCCCCCCCCCCCCATATGTAATTCAAAATAAAAATAATACTATACCGTAAAATCTCTTTTTATTTTTATTTTTTTGGTGCCCCTGCTTTGCTGTGCCCTAAGCACGTGCTTAGTCTGCCTATTGGGTAATCCAGCCCTGACTCCATTGGTCCTTCCCATCTGTTTTCTTGTCTACAAAAGTGGCATTCAGTTTACTCACACACTGGCCTTGGATTTGCATGGTATCTCTTGACTAATGCTAGGATATCAGGTTTCCCGCAGATATAAATATCGCCCTACACCAATGTTCCCTCTAATTATTTCCATCCAGGTGTGGAATAAATTGTGCTCTGAGCACCGAGACATGTGCGGATGTGCACCACCGGTATAAACACATACTCCTGGCTGCTGCCAGCCATGGGTGCACTGCTAACCAGATAGGCAACATTTGAATCTCTCCTGGGCAGCTGCCCAAGCACACAGCTTAGAGGGAACACAGCCCTGCAATGATTCTAAACTTTCCTACACTTGTCTACAGTGAACGGCCATAAAAATCGTGTGCGTCTTTGATTTGTTTATCAACAGGGTGGCACCGGTACCGGTTTATACCCCAGGCAATCTCCATGAAGCCAATAAACTGAATTCTCCAGTCACTAATGCCAATTTCACACAGCAGCAACTCCATTTACTCAACACCTGTGAGTGGAGAATCTTTGCTCCTTGGGCGTTGCATAAGGGGTTGGGAGAATGGCAGGTGTCATCACGGAAATTGGCACCTCAAATAAAATGAAAAGCAAAGGCCAAGATACAGGCGGAACATATGGTCAACTCACTTCTCCTGTACCACCGCAACAACAGGAGCAACACCATTAAACAACAAACCTGCAGCGGTGTAAAACCAGTGGCTGTAGAATCAAGCCCAAAGAGTGGAACTCTATTGCACCACCTCAGGCTTAATTCTTGTGTACAGCCAGCATTAGAAGGCGGCACGTCTCCTGCTACATTCACTGTATTTTTAAAAAAATATACACAAATTGGCTGTGACCACTTCTGAATTAATGGCAGCTCTGGTTTGGGTTAGCAGTGCTCGCTGCTGAAGAAACTGTATAGTGCACCATGTTCATATCCCCGTGTGGGATGGTCTGTAAAACCGGGTAAGCACGAATCTGGTCAAAGTACAGCATTATCAATGGTGCTTTTTGCAAACTGACCAGCAGTGGGTGTAACAATATAACAGGTGGACTTGAGTCTTTTCTCTTCCTGCCACCTTCTACATCTGGGCTCCTCTTTCAAAAGTGAGGGTAAAGATTAGAAATCCCAAACTCAACTTGCTTTGCTGAATGACTTTGTTTACATTGCTTTGAGACACGATGGCTTTGTTCAGCTAAGATCAGTGTTTGGATCCAACGCAAAAAGTGCCTGATTTTTGGCACAGGTCAGAAATCCACGTCACATTTTTCACATCTTGCAGGAGACGCACACAAGAAATATTTGGGTTACTGTTCACATCATGGGCTGGGATTTTCAAAGTCCAGCTCGTAGGTCCCTTTGTTGGGTGCTGGGTTCCTATCCCCCTTTGGCTCCTTTACAAATCCCAACCATAGCTGCTAATTATCTATGCAACCAGGGGGCTTTGCTCATTTCACACACACAAAAGGAAGAAACACATTTCCCCCGACTGCTGTGAAAAATAAACAAGGGCCAGATTCTGATCTGAGTGACATCAGCGTGGCGAGTCTCCAGATGTACTTTGGTTGTATCTGGGAGCCGAGCTTGGCCCGTAGCCGGGTAGAAGAGAGGGAAGGCAACATAATCAAAGAATTCCAGGCCTGCTAGCTTTCCATTGTCTTGGTTAAAGCCCAATCATGACACCACCATTCTCCTTCTGTTTATTATTTGCATTTGCTGGGAAAAGAGCCAAGAGAAGAAAACACGCTATTCCCGGCAACGAAGATAGCCTGCAAAAGTCGTCTGTTGTCTCATTTATTTCCCTGCATAGTAAACAGCACTGACACGGTGGTAAATGCTAACCACAGCCAGAAAGGGCCTGTTTCCTCTCTTCCCCATGAAAGTGAATGGGATCACTCGTGTCCTGGCCATAGGACATATTAGGCCTCATGTCTGAAGACAAGGAACTAAGTGAGCAGCGCACATAGTTCATCCCACTCTTCTACATCCGGCCAATGGCGTGGGAAGTCCTAAATCCACATCCTTCTAGGGCTCAGGCGATTTTGCCGAGCATTTCCTGTTGCATTCCAAGGCCATGGCCAGTTGGGTTCTTAAGATCCCTCTGGATTTGAGCTCCAACTCATCTGCGGAGGTGCAGCTAGGACGGTTGGCTGCCTGGTTTTCAACTGGACAGTCCTGTCCTGACAGTGTCTGATCAGATCTACGGACCGGACACCTACAGTCTGAGAACGGCAGGTGAGGGAGGTGAGGAGACCCCCCCAACATTAGCTGGGACTAAATCCTACCTGTGTTGGGCAGCTGCACCTTCCACAGCTGAGTCCTTCCTGACCCAGGGAGGCGGGAGGAGAAAAGCAGCATGTAACAGGGGAAGGGGCAGAGGAGGGAAGAGAAGGCAGAAGGAAGGATCCCAGGGGGAAGCGGCAGGGCTGGGGAGGTTCTGGCACTCCTGTAGGAGTGTCCAGTTTTTAAATATTACCAGACATAGTTCCCCATGGACCTTTTCATTTCACCTGCTTCGGGATTAGGATCCAGCCCTTTTCAATCAGCCAGTGAACTTCTATTACAGCTCCAGCTAGGACGGTATTGCTGACACGTCTCTGGTCTTCCACTGCAGCCTCCCCCCGCCCCGGCCATCCCTCACCCTCAGACGAAAATGCCACCGGAGGGAAACGCAAAGAGCTCTTGCGCTCCAGAGCGTTTCTAAACCATTTTACAAAGTGCCCTGCCAACAATGCGACCCTATGAGCTGACACCAGCCATGGTGGGGGAAAAGGAAAGTGGATCCTTAGGCTGGTAGGAGCCGTAAGACCACAAGCTGATGAGAAGAGCCGGTAAACACGCAGTGGCCCATGACAAACGCATCTGAAGGCCTACGCCAGCTCTTGGAAGAGGGGAGACTTTCTGCTGATCTCAATGGGAACTGGGTCAGGCCTGAAAGGGGGAAACCATCACACCTTTGTCCAGGAAAAAGCCCCACTTGCAGTAAAGTTGCATACGAATGCCAGGGAGCTCCTTTGCTGTTTGAAGGGCTCAACAGCCACCCCAAGCTTTGAGAAATTAGAGCCCAAGACTTGTATTTTCAAAGGTCTTAATGCCCAAATCCCATTCAAAATGAACAAGAAGCCCCAAGGCAGCGTCAAAACTCTCAGCCCTCCTGGCTAATCATCCCCACTGTATGGAAACACAATGGCTATTGGGGGCCTAAATCCCTTAGGCCTGGCCCCCACACAGATTTTGTACTGGTGTAACCATTGGAATTAGTTCTGTGATTTTTTTAAAGCCACACACAGCCCCTAACGTGAACACAGTCGTATTAGAATAAGTGCTTTATAGCTTATTCCTCTTCCAGGAACTGGTATAAGCACCTTTAAATTAATTTAAATGTGTCCAGACTAGGGACATGTCTACACTAGGAAACTATTTCAAAACGACTAACATCGACTTAACTCCTGATGTAACAAAATCGAAATAGCGTGTCCCCACTACGGGGAAGCCTCAAAATCAATCCTCGGCAGCCTCCGTTATCCGCTACCTTGGATTTAGAGTCCCTGGAAGGACTGGGGAGCCATTAGTTCGAATTACTCGGGGTGGGGGGGAATTATTTCGAAATAGCAGCTCCGGAGCTTCCACACAACCGCTATTTGGAAATAACTATTTTGGCATTTGCGTTATTCCCTGAGAAAAGCAGGAGTACCAATTTTGAACTAAGTGGCCCGTTATTTCAAAATAAGGGGCTTGGTAGTGTGACCGCTCCGCTTATAAATTCGACTTACGGGGGGGGTTATTTTGAAATAACGCCCTAGTGTAGACCAGGACTAGGGAAGTTGAACTGCCACGAGTCCAGTTAAAGTGATACGGCCTTGGTGAGTGTATAGGCAAGCTCCTAAACTCTTTTGCAAAGCCAGGTCTTAGGCCATGTCTACACCACATACTTACTTCAGTATAACTCCCTCCTTTCAGGGATGTAGTTATACCAACCGTAGCCCCCCGTGTAGACAGTGCTACATAGCAGAGGTGATGTTATTAAGCCAACGGGAGAGGTTTCTGATGTCGGTAGGGGGGCAGCTGCAAATTGGCAGTGTAGACCTGTCCCCCCTGTGTGTAATTAAGTCTACGCACACTGCTAGAGCACAGGAGTCAGCGAGCCCCTGCAAAGCCAGGCATGCCCTGTCCCCGGTTCCATTGCAATTCTCCAGCTTTCAGATGGAACATAAGAACATAAGAATGGCTGTACTGGGTCAGACCAAAGGTCCATCTAGCCCAGTATCCTGTCTGCCGACAGTGGCCAGCACCAGGTGCCCCAGAGGGGGTGGACCGAAGACAATGATCAAGCAATTTATCTTGTGCCATCCATCTCCAGCCTCTGACAAAAAGCGGAGGAGGTGCCCAAAGCAGCAGACATGTGAAATGACGGCTCGCATCGCCTGCCTAGGACATCGGGACACTCCGCTCTCATTAAAATTAAGGCAACTTTGAAATTCTCATTAACCCCCTCCAATCCTCTCCCCCTCCTCCTTTCTGGTTCAACAACCAACGGGACTAGTATTTTAGATTGCTGTCCTCGCCCAGATCAATGGAACGGGTGGGATGTGGGGGTGGAAGCATCCAACAGTTGTCCATCAACCTCAGTGGAACTTTGGCGTGAGGGCCGGGAAGGAATGATCGTATTCTGTATGTCTGCAGTTGCCACCAATATTTATATCTCTATCTCTCTCTATATTCCTGTATATTTACAGAGCATGAATATACGGCGTGTGTACAATAAAATAAGGGTAAGATACGATCTCAGGATATAAAAGAATATTTCTTGACTGGTCAGTCATTTATCTGCCCAGAAAAAGGTTCCGTCCACCCGAATTCCATGCCCGGGTGTCATTTTCTTCAGGCCGCAATCCATCAGGGAGGGGAAGCCTCTGAGAAGAGGCTTCAGTTTTCATACGACTAGGAATGTGACTCCTCCTCTAGACTGGATCGCGGTTCCGGAGCTGGCCGTCAAAGACGAGACGCCTGGCGCTTTCTGGATGTGTAAGCCTTGGCCAGCGAAGCTTTCCGGCTACACCCCTTTGTGGCAGCAATGAAAGCGCACGTGGATGCCAGGCTGGTGTGGCTGATGCCGGCATCGCTGAGGAAATCAGCGGGTGATTCCTCCTGCCTCTCTGTTCCCCAGCTCCTCCTTCTGAGAGCATCCCACGCTCAGGGGCAGGGGCAGGTGGGAGGAGCACAAAGGCACCCGTTGAAGTGTCGAAAGGCTCCTGGATCTCTCTCAAAACACAACCCAACAGCAAGAGTTCCCCTGTTGCTCCTACAGTCCAACCACAGAGCCGAAGTAGACCTGGAAGCAGTTGCCTTCTTGACTATCTCTGAGCCCGGGTCCCTTCTTAGTTCCTTTCTCACTCGGAGGGCAACAATTTCCCTGTAGGCCCTCGCGCTGTTGGCCGTTGGGCGCTGCCTTACAGACGTCAACCTTCCCAGGTTCCCTGTCCCCGCTTCACACGCAGCCACATTCCTTGGCTGAAAGCTCGTTGACGGTGTAGTAGCGGTTGTAAGTGTCCAGGAAGGAGACGTCGTCATCGTAAGCGAGAGGCCTGCAGCAGGGCCTGGCTCGGATCTTCTCCTTTTTGATCTTCTTCTTGAGCCTCATGTTCTTCAGGGAGAGGTCGTAGTTCCTGACAGCTGTCTCGCAGGTGCCGCTGCAGTACCGGAACAGGACGATCTCGTCCGACTCATAACCCAGGCCCAGCTCGCTCACACTCACCTCCAGCTCCTTCAGGGCGCAGGGTTTGTGGCGGGCCCGGGCTCGCTTCATGCGGTTCCCGGGCTTGGGGAAGAGGGGCAGCTCGTGTCCTCCAGAGTTCATGGACTGGCTGTACCTCTCGACCAGAGTGGAGATCAGCTGTCGGATTTCACCCTCCGTGTAGCTTTCAAACAAGGCGCTGTCTGCAACAAACAGGGACAAGGGTTAGTGAGCCAGGTAGCGGGGAAGGAAAACGCCAGTCACAGAAGTGAGGTACCCGTGGGATCCGGCCATCCAACTCCTTTAGAAAATCCAAGTCCTGAATAGGTCTACACAGTGGGGGTAAACGTTCCCAAAAGCTTAAGTTCCATTCCCTCCCAATGGGGTTTAAGCTCTTAGATCACTTTGGTTCCCCCCATCTTCCAGGTCCCCAGACTGCACTCACAGGCAGGAAAGAGCCTGTAAATGGGACAGGAAAAAGCAACGAGCATTTGGAAATCACGGATCCAGTAATTTGCCATGTTACACAAAGCGAAGCTTCTATTACATACGCCCAATCTCCTGCCTGACATTTCCCCGTGTGACGCAATTGTCCCATGCAATGCAACCCGGGCACTCCTAGCTGATTAACCCACCCCACTGAAATCAGGCCCAGCTGACCTTCAGCACCATCAAAGGCTGGCATTCACCCCTCCCTCAACCTCGCCTGCTCCTGAGAGATCAGCTAGACCTGCCTTATTGAGCAGAGCAGAGGCCTTCGCTGCACTAGGGGGGGAAAAGTGCGACTTGCACGGCTGCTGTTAACCACCAACTCAAGTACTGTAGTTTAAGCATGGGTGGCCAATAATGCAGGCAAGGGAAGGCATTGCCTTCCCAAAACTGCCTATGTGCCCTAGCCGCCTGGCAAGGCTGGGTCTGCAGTGCGGCTGCCCAGCTCCCTGGCCGCCCAAGAAAGCTGGGGTCAGGGCCACAGAACGATAGCCCCAGCCCTCCTGATGGCCTGGAAGGATCGGGCTGGGGGTGGGCTGGGCTTAGCTCCAGGGTGGGGCCTTGGTGAAAGGGGCGGGGCTGGGGCTTGCCTTCCCCAGCTGGGCCGCCCATGGGTTTAAACATTAGTGCAAGAGGCCTTTGGGCCCTGCTTACTGCACAGATTAAACGAGGAAGCCAGAGCCCTGCCCTTCACAGGGATCTAGTCAGATGCCCTGCATGACCCAGGCCAGAGACCCTCCCGCAGTGATCCCTGCGCCAAGACCTCCAGATGCTTTGGCCAACGGCAGCTTCGCTTTGAGTTAACATTGTCCCACGTGGGGCTGGCTTTTATAGGACAGCTGAAACTCCAGTCCCCACCACTGGCGGCGGTTTTGGTAAGAATTACGGATGAGTTAACCCCGGTGCTAACTGCCAACTCAGGCAATGGCATTCTGTTTCGCGACATCCCCCCCACGGTTTCACTAGAATGCAGCAGGCTGGAACACATCTTGATCTGCCGGGAGCAGGGTGGGCTTAACCCGCGGCTTATCCCCAGAAGCAGCTGCATTTCAACTGTGAGTGTAATCATCGCAGTGTGACTGACTGAATGAATGGATGCTGCGAAACGCACTGATTCCCCAGGGCAAAGGCACATTCCCAAGTACTCTGCTGGGGCCAACTCCTGGTTTTACTCAGACCTCACTCCCATC